ATGAATTAATAGGCACAATATTCTTAAAGCAATCACTTTCTAAATTAGAGGCACTCAACCTTTTTTCCTGCCTTCACACTATTCACACAGTAGCAAGTGCCCATAAATAACCTCTTTCATTATAAAAAGTGATCCTCAAGTAGGGCAGGTACAATCAATCTCCGAGGAATAAATTTATAGTCTGAGAGACATTCTAGTCCCCCACCCCTAACGGAGGTGTTACACTCACCATTTTGGAATGAGGTCAGGCTAGGAAGGCAGGGGCAGTGTTTGCTCGCTCAAACACCACATTTCTAGTGAACCACATGAACATCTACAGACTGCTCGATGGTGCTTATTCATGTTTGTGTCAATGGCATTGCTCTGCCTTAGGATTATGAGACCTTATTCTCTGTTTAGCCTTACTAGTGTGTGTGGTGGTATTTTTTTTAAATAGTTTTTTTTTATTTCTCTTCCATATTTAAGCTATCAACTATATGTTAAAATAATCAATATTTACATTGGTAATTCATGGTATAAAATTAAAAATGTACAAAGAATTGCAGTCTCATTCCCTAGAGTCAACTACTATCACTTATTTCTTGTGATCCTTCCAGAAATAGTCTGTGCACTTATAAATGTGTTATCTTGTTTTATTTTTTAACTCAACAATGTATTTGGAGTCTTTCCATAGCAGTAAATAAAGCCACCCTACTCTTTATAATGGGTGCATAAGCACTCCACTCTATGGGTATCTCTAGAGTAATTGAACCAATCTCCTAATGGTGGGCATTTAGCTTTTCCCATGATAAATAACGATCAATACCACCCTTGCATTTTTAGCATTACACATTTTTCTACTGTCCGTGTACTTACATGTATAGCTTTCTTTTACATCCTTTAATACCCTCGTGAAGATTTATCCTCTACAGTACTACATTTTCCTATCCAAGAACAAGGTATGCTTTTTCAACTGTTCAAGTCTTCTATGTTTTCACAGTAGCCTTATAAAACTGTCTTCAACTTAATCTTGCCCATTTCTTCTTAAATTTATTCTTAGATATTTCATCTGCTTTTGTTGCAGTTGGAAATATAATTCTTTCCTTTTATTACATCTTCTGATTGTTTATATATAGGGTGGCAAATGATTTTAAAAATGTAACTTTAAGTTACAGACATTTCTGTTTCCTTCTCTGTGAACTCTGCCCATTTACCGGGCCACCTTTCATGATTTCTCAAGTTATTTACAAATCAATGCACATTAAAGCAATTTCTTATTGTGGCAGTTGCAGCTGAGCAGGCAAAACAGCGTATACGGTACCAGTTCAGACTGCAGGGAAACAGATGTAATTTTAAAGTGGCCAAAGTAGCACACTGATCCCAAGAAGTACTTTATTATTTATTCCTTACATATACACAGTCAGCTTATCAAAGGAGAGATAAAGATATAAATATTTAAGAGATCAAAATGTTATCAACTTTTTTTGCAGGTATATAACTACAAACCTTTGATGGATTGATGTTGAATAAATGAAAAAATCTAGCCAGATCAAGAATAAAAGATATTGAAATCCATCATCAAATCCTATGGCTTTATCTTCAAAACAGAGATCATTATCTTCCTCATTTCTCCATCTCACACTGCTTATTCCTGGCTCCTGAGCCAGCCACCATCCCCTGGCCTCTGTGCCATGACCAAGGCCAGTGGCCTCACGGTCTCCCTACTTCTGCTTTTGCTCCACACCACACTCCAGTTCCCGTTGGGCAGCTACATCTAGTCACTCTGGCTTTCCAGCAATTTCTAACATTAACAAATCCCCTCCCATACAGGACTGCTGCCTGGAGAACTTATGGAGGCTGGGCTTCTCCTCCTTCATGTCGTAAGGCCAGCACTGCAGACACCTCTCAAGACTCAGGTGTCTAAAACCGGCGTCCCCACCCTTCTATCACAGCAGCACTCACAATTCCGAGAATGTAGTGGCTCTTCCTCTTTTATGGTCTGACTCTCCACAGAATGGCAGGGATTATCCCTGCTTCTCTACCACTACGTCCCCGGTGCCTAGCACAGCAGTGAGTGTACATTGTGAGCCTTCATTAATATCGTTAAAAGAATAAGACGAGCCCGACCGGCGTGGCTCAGTTGAGCATCGACCTATGAACCAGGAGGTCAGGGTTCGATTCCCAGTCAGGGCACATGCCCGGGTTGCAGGCTCGATCCCCAGTTGGGGGCATGCAGGAGGCAGCCAATTAATGATTCTCTGTCATCACTGATGTTTCTATCCCTCTTTTCCTCTCCCTTTCCCTCTCTGAAATCAATAAAAATAAAGAAAGAAAGAATAATTTGAAGGAAGAGCAGGAGGGAGAGACACACCTCAAAAATTTCAAATCCAGCAATGTCCAGGATTCCAATGAAAGATGCTCCCTGACGCTTGGTCCTATCCAGAGCTTTATTGATCCGGTGAACGAGCCAGCGAAAGAGCCGCTCGTAGGTAGCTTTTGCCAATGCTTCCACTGCAAAGTCCGCCTGTAATTACACAACACCATGCTTTAGTCTGGGAATGATCTCAACAAGGCATTCATGGCTATTATATATATAGTTCAATGTTCTACAAAAATCCTGAAATAGCATGTACTGCTTAGTCATGTCTCAAGTTTACACATCGACAAAGGGTGTAAGTACAATTAAATGTAAACTAGAGATAATCAATTTAAGGGAAGGGTGAAGGTGGCCAGTAAAGAAGAACCCCTCCCTATGTCCCGGGGCTTCTGTGAGCCTATCTGCTCGGAGTCTGAAAGGAGTCCACCCTGAAACAGGGGAGTCCAACTCCTATATTCTTGGCGGGTGGGCTCTACAAGGACATAACTTTGTCCTCCTGGATAATCTATCTACTGGGGAAAACTCAAATTTCCTTTTTAAAAAACTACACAAGAAAACCCCCACTCAATTAGTCCCAGGAAACATCCATATTATCGAGTTTATCTGATTCAGTTTGTCACACACCACTCAGAAGGTCTTATGACCACAATTTATCATTCAAACAAATGTAGAATAATTAATGAAAAATGTACTTGTTCTTTGGTCTGGGCTTTCTGCACGTAGTCTCGGCCGACCTTGATGCGGGGGGTAAGGATGGCCCGAGTGAACTCCATCACATTCATCCCAAGAAGATGGCACAGCTTCTGGGCAACTAGAGTGTAAAAAATTCTCCTAAATAGTGGCCTCCTCCTTATGATCCAGTCACAATACATGCAATAAACACTCGAAAAACCAGAGTCATCATTAAATTGTATTAAGAAATAACAAGTTTTAGGTCCTGATGGAAAATCCCTTCATCCCTTCAAATTAATAGCACTCCTCCTTAGGTTACTTATACGAGACAGCTAGCCAGCAATTACTTATTATGGCTAATAATGCAAGTTACTGAGTCTTAGAAGCCATAACACACAGAATGAGAAAAACAGTGTTACCAAGATAACTGGCCATGATCATGTAATGATCCTAATAATATTTTAATGGGCAAGAAATCTATAAGTTTAAAAAAAAGTTATTTGATTACATGGCTAACATGAAACACTCAATACATAACTGCTACTTTTGTTATTGTTGATTCTCAGCAGCATTAGGGCACCTGCCTCACTAGAAGTTCATTGTCTAATATCTCCCAAGGTCCAACAAGTATACGACTTATTATAATTAATTTTGAACTAAGTGTTTAACAATAATATTCTCTAAGGGTAAGCACATTTTGAATTATGTTACAGGGATTACCTACCCAGGTCATTTCAAGACCTGCATCCTACCGCCCTAACCCAGGCCAACGGCTGGCCGCCTGCAGGAGCCCTGTCTGCAGGGCGGGCCGTGCCTCGAGAGCACTTCCTGTGCTTTGGGGCTCTTCTCACTGGCTCTTACCAATGGCTCTGCCTCAGCTGCTAGGTCGTGGCTCCCTTTAGTTAATGAGTGGATCATGAGTGTAGGTATTGGATAGGAAATTAGAAAATACAAAGAAGTACAAAAGGCAAATTACCCACATTCCTTTGCTTTGTAACATGACAAATATCATTTCAGCAGCTAAAAGATATACTTCATAGTGGGGCTATACCTTGGCTTACTTCATTCTATTGGATATTTAAGGTAGCTCCCTTGTTGCCATTGCATACATCTTTCTGTGTGATAAGTGTTCTGTCGGTCTCTTATTCCCCTTCCTGAGACTACTTCAAAGAGCCAAGCTTAGTACAAAAGCTCCAGAAGTTAAATAAAACACAGTAATTAATTAAAGCTAGGGAATAGGAAACTTACTGGCCATCTAGCCATGGCAAGTACAACTTTGGTTTTATGATGTTACGGTAAAGAAATGTGGCTAAATGTTTAAACAGACCTATCAGAACTCATCTATCTTAGGGAGAGCTGGCACCGTGGTGGCAAACACGCACTACAGGGCTGAGTGCTGCTCAAGGAAGACTAAAACAGAAACGGGTGAGACTGATTTCCGACAGGGCTAGGTGGAAACAGGGCAGAAAGAATGGGGGAAGGGAACAGAGTGAAAGAGATGGGGGTGGGTGGGAACAAAATCAGAGAAGTACACATTTTTCTGTAGTTCTGACTTTTAGAATTATTTATATGTTGCATATACTAAAATATAAGCAAAAAGGTTTAAGGGGGGGGGGGCAAAATGTGATACAAACAGAAATAAATGAAGCTGCCTACATTACAAATGAAAGTGTAGCACTCGAAGGCGGAAGGAGGGAAGAGTAAAACAGTATTTTGACCCACCATCTGCTGATGGGCACTTAGGCTGTTTCCAAATCTTCGCTATGGTAAATTGTGCTGCTATGAACATAGGGGTACATATATCCTTTCTGATTGGTGTTTCTAGTTTCTTGGGATATATTCCTAGAAGTGGGATTACTGGGTCAAATGGGAGTTCCATTTTTAGTTTTTTGAGGAAACTCCTTACTGTTCTCCACTGTGGTACATCTACACAATGGACTACTATGCTGCGGTAAAAAAGAAGGAATTTTTACCATTTGCAACAGCATGGGTGGAACTGGAGAGCATTATGCTAAGTGAAATAAGCCAGTCAGAGAAAGATAAATATCACATGATATCACTCATTTGTGGACTATAATGAACCACATAAACTGATGAACAAAAACAGATCCAGAGATAGAGAAGCTTCGATCAGACCATCAAACCTCAGAGCAAAGGTAGGGGAGGGCGGGGGTAAGAGGGAGAGATCAAGCAAAGGACTTGTATGCATGCATATAGGCCTAACCAATGGACACAGACACCAGGGGGGTGAGGACATGAGTGGGGGTGGGGGTGGGGGGCAATGGGGGAATATGGACACATATGTAATACCTTAATCAATAAAGAAAAAAAACAACACAAACAAACAAACACCCACAGTATTTTGACTCTATACTCTAATGCTAAAGAACCGTACACAAATAGTGTTTACTAATTAGCAGGTTTGTTTTCCAGAGGAGTACAGGTGAGTAATTCTGGAGTTCTTTTATGGGTATTCTAGGATCGAACAAATAAACAAATATACTGTAGATAAGACTTCTTACTGTCAGAGAAAGGAATTTCAAATAAAGAAGAGGAAATGGCTAGCATAAAACCTGTAGTGTCAGCTCAACATTAGAGGTATCAGTATAAATCCATGGTTTTTAATATACATACAAAGAAATGAAAATGGGAGTGAGTACATGCATGTGCATGTTCCCTTGCTCTGTCCTCTGAGAGAAGTCAGAAACAAATGAGACCCTGGAACAACCAGGTATTGGCAGCTAAATCCCATTCTTCAATATGAAGAAACAGCAGCGAAACGGCCAATTCCAGGGCCAGGGCTGGACAAATACAAAATGAGTCTGGAACATTTTGTGTTGCCATAAAGTAAGAAAATGCTTTAAAATAAAAGTGACAGAGTCATGTCAAAGTGACCTGAGCACTAGCCTGAAGTGGCTCCAACTCCTCATGGCCACATCCAGGACAGGAATATATAATTATGGAATGGATCATAAACTATACAATTATTTAAAGAAGGGCCCATGTGTCTATACTGATAGGAATGAAAAAGCGAAAGCTCTTCCTTACAGTAGAATTCCAGGGAGTAAATATAAAAGAACGATGTAGACAGAAGTCACCACTTGACATACACCACAAGCAAGACTCATTTCAGGTAAGAATCATAAACGGATGCTACAACTAGTAGCCCAAGAGCCTGATGAGAGCCTGGACTTACTTCCTTAGTCTCAGTGTCTCCCTCCTCTCCCAGATACTTGTTCCAAAGGCAGAAGGTAATCCGGTAGCGGAGAAACCCAGTAGACACTTCCTTAACCAAGTTAACCTCACCAACGAGACAAACTCACATAGGCCTGCCGATATGATGCACGAGAAGGCCATACCACTTCTGTGATAATCTTACCAAAAACGCATAACCTGAATTTAATCAGGAGGAAACCTCAGACAAACCCAAATGGAGGGACATTTTCCAGAACAACCGGCCAGCATTCTTCTTCAAAAGTCAAGGCCACGAAAGACAGAGACTGGGCCTATGTTCCTGGTAAGGTCAACACTGGTAGGTCTCAGTAGCTGCAGCTCCCTTTCCGATGAGCTGTGTGGTCTCTGCAGCTTAGGTCTCCGCATGCCCCCATCCCCAGGGCCTCCCCAGGCCACGGCGGGGTCTCCAGTGCTGCCTTGTGTCCTACACACATCTCTTCCCTCAGATGACACCAGAGTGGCCCTCACGCATTCTGCTCCTGAGTCTGTGGCACTGCGTCGGGAGTACTGTCTATGCCTGCGCTAACATGCTCTTGGAGAGCACAACCAACAACCACTTAAACGGAAATAAAATCAGCATCGTCAGTTACCTGTA